TTTAGATTAATTCTTCAAAAAAAAATTTAAAAACCAATTCACCCCCCTCTTGGTCAACTATTTTTGGGCTTTCGATAAATACTTCTCAATGTAATAAACGTGGTAGCAAAACGAGTCACAAATAGACATAATTTTCTTCCATTCAAGTATTTTTCTCAACCAAGACAAAAAAATTATGTGGTTATACACAAATATTGTAATCTTTGAAGCACGTAATGCAAGGGAATGCACGTGAGGCATACTACTAATATCTTTCAAAATAAGATTCAAGCAATGTGCAGCACAAGGAGATCATCAGTTACCATATGAACAACATTACGAGATCCAACCCATTCAACTACCTCAGAAAATAAGTTACACAATGTTCGAGTATCTTTCACTGCATCGACGCGTCAAAAGATTTTATAAATACAATCCTAGAAGAGCAATATAATAAAAAAATAATTAAGATTCTATGTCTTTGATCACTTCACAAAATAACATGAACGTCACTATAAGACGGACCTTTAAATCCTGAGCCAATTGTAGCAGTAGCATCTAAAGCGAGTTGAAATTAAGGTGAATGCAAAGCATTAAATGAAATGCCAGCATCAAAATCCAATTCTTATCAATAAAAATCCAATTCAGTTAAATAAGCTAAAAATGGAAATTATGTCCTTGTGATATATCTGATCATCAAAGTTGGTGCTCTTTTCTTTTGGAGGGGACAATTTTTTTTACTGAGTTTGACTTTTAATTATGGCTGTTGCATTGATCTTTTTAATTTATTCTTTTACCGTAATACCCTCATATATTTTGTTCCTCAATTTCACCTATTTCATTTTTCCAATTCAAAATTTTAAAAGTTGCCACCTAATTTGGTTGGATTCCACCACTTAGAACCTCAAACAATTGTTTTAAGAGCGGATGCAGCCATTCGAGTGATGGCTGAAATCGGGTAGTTTTCAGGCGTGAGTCCTCGGAGTTCGACATTTCCCATCGTTATTCCAGCCACCTTCGTTGCAACCCTCATCGTTCATCCGCCTCCCATTGTCAATTATAATTTGGTAATTGTTTTCTATGCGATGATGAATGAAGCCCTAATTTGGATGATAAATAAATCGAAGAGTGAATCGGTTTATCGGATGTATCGGTTTTCTCTTAATTGAGAAAGTTTCGATTCCGATAGTAAACCAGGAGATGACACGTCTATCTTGTCGGCGTACCTTAACGAGTAAGGAAGGGTTCACGAGAGACGATAATAATATGAAAAGGAAAAAAATAAAAAATTGCTATAAGTCAACTTTTTCTCAGTTTAGTTATTATTACTGGGAAACCCTTCTTGGCCCGGATCAATGCCAGGCTCAAGAACAAGGCGCC